CGGCTACTTGCCTGAGTTCCGGCTACTTGGAAGACTGAGGCGGAAGGATCGCCGGAGCCCAGCAGGTCGAGGCTGCGGTGGCCAGGAGCGTGCCACTGCCCTCCAGTCTGGGTGACAGAGAGAGACTCCAATTTAAACCAACCAACAAACAAAAAAAAAACTTAACCTCTTAATTAGCAAACAGAAGAAAGGTCAACACTTCCTTTAGCCACAGCAGTTATGCAACAATTATAACTGGGGGCCTACTGTGAGCGAGACATTCTGCTACTTGATGAAGAACCATTTCCTTCCCTAAAAAATTCAGTGTTTAAGACACAGATTGCTGCAATTCAAAAATGCAATGTAATAGATTCAATGATGGACAAATATCATGCATTAACAGAGAGGCTTTTGAGAGTGGGTGGGAGCAAAGCTCCAGAAAGGCTTCCAGAAAAGTTGATATCTGATCTGAGTAGGAATGCAATAGGAGTAGTAAAAACAGATGCTCAGCACCGGAAGCATGAACAAAGGCACGAAGACAAGAAATAGCATGAATTCAAGAAGCCACCCTTGGATAAGGAGGTCACAGGCTTCCCTTGAGGCTTGGGGCATCATACTAGAGTAGAGGCAGTTCAATAGAGAAAGAATTACATACACCTTCCCCAAAGTTGTAAAAGGGTACCACATACTGGCTTAGATGGCTTACTTTTAAGGATATCTGAAGGATGTAGTATGGCAATACAAAAAGGTTTGAAGTCAGCCTTAATTTTGAATCCCAACCCTTATTCATAAGGTGTGAGACTGTAGATAAGTTACTCTTTAAGCCTCAGCAACCTCACCTGTTAATGGAAATGAACCTCATACATTTGGAGTTGTTACAAGGATGCCAAGATATACATAAATCAGTTGTGACTGGCACTTAGTAGACATCCAATGTATATAAGTTTCATTACCCATTTTCATGCTCTATAATTAGTTCCAAACTGAGTTCTTCTTTCCTTTCAAACTCATTACAGATTGGATCCCATTTGTTCACAGTTCACTATGTACTTGTCACATTTTTTTTAACATCTCTTCTTTGAGTGTTGTGCTAGGCATTAGTTTCTCCTTTTTCCTGACCATCATACCATTTCCTAATTTCCTTTTCACTCTCTGTCTTGGCATGGTTATTTTCTTTCTATCCCTCTCCCACTAAGCCTCTAGAAAACTTCTTTTCTTGCCCATTAAGTCCCACTGAACATACTTTTCAGGGGCTACCAGTATGTCCCCAAAAGATCAGCATTAACCCAAAGCTCTTTAATATAGAGATAAAAACCCTGCAAGGTTCCACTCAGTCAACTTTATTGCATACATAAATATCCTACAAACAAGCCTTTGAGTATGTTTGGCATTTTGAGGACATTCAACATTGCCAGGTAAGTAATTCACTTGCCCAGCGGAGGGCTCTCCTTAGGTGTATGGCATTTGGCTCCTGAAGTCACTAGTCTTCCGCTTTCCAAAAGAGCAAAAGTGACTTGCTTAGCCAGTAACTTTCTGCCATTAAACCAGTTCAGGTTTTACTAATTAACTGATAAATGTTTGGGAGACTTAATTTGAATACTAAATAAAACATAAAATCACTGAATTTGGCTTCTCTTTTGAGAAGACAATGACAAAAATCTCCCAGAAAAGACATGTTTACAATAAAAACAAATGGAGGCCGGGCTCGTGGCTCAGCCTGTAATCCCAACACTTTGGGAGGCCGAGGTGAGTGGATTGCCTGAGCCCGCAGGTTCGAGACCCGCCTGGGCAACTTGATGAGACCTCATCTCTACAACAAATCAAAAATTAGCCGGGCGTGGTAGCGCTCGCCTGTAGTTCTAGCTACTTGGAAGGCTGAGGGGGAAGGATTGCCTGAGCCCAGCGGGACGAGGCTACGGTGG